ATGTGTTTTTGACCAAAAATGTGTTTTAAATAATGTTAATATTGTGTCTTTGAATCTTCTCTTAGTTCTTGCTCTCTATCCAGTACCATTTTGTTTTAGGTGATTTTTATAGATGACTGAATTATTTGTATACTTTAGGTAAATTTTTGTTTTCTGATATTCTTGAGAATCCTTCCTTCTGGAATATTACCTATTCACATTTATTATAATATATTTTCTTCTCTTTTTATTTTAAAGATTCTTGTAGCTACAGAAAACAGAATCAACTCCAGCTATTTACTGTAGCTATCAAGAGATAGCTAGGACACAAATAATTGAAAGGCCTGAAGAAATATACAATATATTCTGAGCAGAGCTTCTAGGAGTGACTTCAGAACTGGGAGGGCTAAGTCTCTGCTCTTGACTATGCCAGCAAAACAGCCTTTTCATGCCGTGCTTATTGATTCATTCATTCACTTCCTCCTTCCCTCCCTCCCTCCCTCCCTTGCTCTCTCTTTCCTTCCTCCCTTCCTCCCTCCCTCCCTCCTTCTTTCTTTCCTCTCTTTCTCTCAGGGTCTAGAACTTGCTAGGCAGGTGCACTACCCCTTGAGCCATGCCTCAGCCTGTTCTGTGTGTGTGTGTGTGTGTGTGTGTGTGTGTGTGTGTGTGTGTGTGTGTATGAGAGAAAGACTGGGATTTGAACTCAGTGCTTTGTGCTTGAAAAGTAGTGCTTTACCATTTGAGCCACACCTCCAGTCCATTTTACTCTGATTATTTTGGAGATGGGGTCTAGGCAACCTTAGGTTGCCTTTTCATTTTGTTGATTTTTTTTGGTGTGTGGGGGTCCTGGGGATTGAATTCAGGGTCCTCATGCATGCCGAGCCAAATACTCTACCAATGAGTTATACCTGTTGTTTTTTGGTGTGTGGGGGTCCTGGGGATTGAATTCAGGGTCCTCATGCATGCCGAGCCAAATACTCTACCAATGAGTTATACCTGTTGTTTTCATTGCTATGCAGAAGCCTTTTAGTTTGGTATAGTCCTATTTGTTTAATTTGGTATCAGCCAAAAAGTCATTTCCAAGACCAATGTCAAGGAACTGTCATCTTTGCTTTTTTCCTAGGAGTTTTATGGTTTCAGGTCTTAACATTGAAGTCTTTTTCTTTTCTTTCTTTTTTGGTAGTACTGGTGTTTGAACTCAGGGCCTCATACCACTCCACCAGTCCCAACATTAAAGTCTTTAATCGGTTGCTGATCAATTTTGGTGTAGGGGGTAAGATAAAAAGTTCATTCTTTTACATGTGAAAATCCTGTTTTTCCAAGACCATTTGTTAAAGACTCTCCTCTCCTCATTTGGTGTCCCTGTCAAAGGACAGTATATGCATGGGTTTATTTCTAGGCTTTTTCCTCTGTTCCATTGGTGTATTTTTATTCCACTACCACAGTGTTTGGTTACTATAGTTTTGTAATATAATTTCAAAATAGGAAGTATGCTACCTCCAGCTTTATTCTTTCTAAAGATTGCTTTGACTAATTTAGGGCCTTTATGGGTTTTTTCTTTTTTCCTACTTTTGTGGAAAATGCCAGTGTAATTTTTTTTGGGTGGTTGAACTGGGATTTGAACTCAGGGCTTTGAGATTGCAAAGCAGGCATTTTACCACTTGAGCCACTCCAGTCCTCATTGGAATTCTGATAAGGATTAATCTGAGTCTGTAGAATGCTTTGGGTGGTATGTGATTTTAACAATCTTCTTCCAATCCACAAGCATAAGTTATCTTTACATTTATTTGCATCTTTGGTTTCTTTCATCAGTATCTTAACAGTTTAGTGTATAGATCTTTCATTTTCTTTGTTAAATTTCTTCCTATGTATTGTAGACTTGATGTTCTTGTAAATGAAATTGCTTTCTAAATTTCTTTTTTGGATATTTTGTTGTGAGTATATAGAAGTACAGTTTTTTCCCTTTTCTTTTTCTTTTCAGCCAAGGAATCAACTACCTCCTTCTCTCTCTCTGTCTCTGTCTCTCTGATGATACTGAGGCTTGAACTCAGGGTCTACACCTTGAGCCACACCACCAGCCCTTTTTTCTTGTAATGGGTTTTTTCAAGTTAGGGTCTCACAAACTATTTGCCTGGGCTGTCTTTGAACCGTGATTCTCCTCATCTCTGCCTCCTGAAAAGCTAGGATTACAGGCATGCATCACCGGTTCCTGGCGTTCCCTTTTCTTTTTGGCAGTGGTGCTAGGGATAGAACCTAGGGCTTGTCGTGCTAGATAAGCAACCTACTGCTGAGCTATGCCTTTAGCCCTAGAAATGCAACTAATTTTCATGTTTATTTTGTATCCTGCAACTTTACTAAATGTGTATTTGTTTTGGTGAAGTCTTTAAGGTTTGTCTACAAGATCCTGTCATGTGCAGACAGTTTTAATTCTTCCTTTCTAGCTTGAATGCCTTTTATTTCTTTTTGTCTGATTGCACACACTAAGTCTAGATAAGGCCAAGATATGGCAAAAAAGATTTCAGCTTTTCATCTTTGAGTATGATGTTAGCTGTCAATTTGTCACATGTGGCCTTTGTTATGTTGAGGTACATTTCTTCTGTACATTAAGAGATTTTTTTTAAATCACGAAAAAATGTTAGATTTTGCCTAATACTTTTGCCTCATCTATTGAGGTGATCATATAATTTTTATCTTTCATTCTGTTAATATGGTGTATCGTGTCTATTGGTTTATGTATTTTGAACCATCCTTGCATCCCAGGGATAAATCCCACTTGATCATTGGTATATGATATGTTTGCTTTTGAAAAAGAACTGTTTTAGCTGATGTATTAGAGATTTTTTGTGCCTATAAAAATGTCTGGTACTCTGCCGCAGTGGTGCTGGGGTTTGAACTCAGGGCTTCACACTTGCTAAGCAGACACTCTACTTCTTGAGTCACGCCCCCAGCCCTCCTGCCCAGGTTTTTCTTAGGCCCCGTTTCTTCTTTTACTTCCCTTTGAGTCCCTGTTGCATCCATCAACAAGAGCTACCATTTTCCTTAAAAGATAGATATTATAGTTAGTAACCCCTTAGGGACTACCTAGTTCTTGTAGTCAAAGTATTAATGTGTTAACTTAATTATCATCTGTTCCTATCCTCAGCCCTTACCACTGCCTCTTCAATTTTTCTGGGACTCTGTTAACAGAGAAAGTGGATTTATTCCTATTCTCACTACTGTTCTTGCTTACGTTGGAATACGAGACTGTATTCTGCTTTTTCCTCTCAGCAGAATTGTATTTGTTTAAACTTCTAAGAGTCCTTCGTATTTGCTTAGGACCTTTCCTAGTGTTTCGTGACTGCTATGGACTTTTTCTTATATTGTGCTCTTTCAGTGGTATTTTGGAAGGGAAAATTTGAATGTTTGGACTCATTCTACCATCATGAACTACAAATTACAGTTTAGCATTGCAGAATTGTTGAATGCCACTGAATTTAATTAGAAAACAGAGGGATTGGAATTAAATATATGGGGGTTCTGCCACTTAATATTTGAGTTATCTCAAACAAGTTTTCTAATCATTCAAAGTACTGATTTCCAGCTGGCTGCCATGGCTGATGCCTCTAATCCCAGCTACTAGGTAGAGATAGGGAGAATCTTGGTTTGAGACCAGCCTCGGCAAAAAGTTCACAAGACCTTCCCCATCTCAACCAATGGCTGAGCAGGGTGGCATCTCCAGCTCCATGAGGAAGCACAAGTAGGAGGATCTCAAAATTAACTAAAGTAGCTGTGTGCCATTGGCTCATGCTTATTACTCCTAGCTACTTGGAGGCTGAGATCAGGAGGATTGGGGTTTGAGGCCAGCCTGGGGAAATAGTTCAAGAGAACCCCATCTCCAAAATAACCACACCAGATTGGACTGGAGGTGTAGCTCAAGTGGTAGGGCGCCTGCTTTGCAAGTGTGAATCCCTGAGTTCAAACCCTAATATCACCCCCAAAATAACAGAAAATAAAATAATAAAATAATAATAAATAAAAAATAACAAAATAACAAAACAGGTGGGCATTGGTGACTCATACCTGTAATCCTAGTTGCTTGGGAGGCTGAGATCTGGAGGATCAAAGTTTGAGGCCAGCCTAGGAAACTAGCTTGAGAAACCCTATCTTCAAAAAATAATGGGAACAAAAATGCACTGAAGGTGTGGCTCAAGCACAAAGCCTTGAGTTCAGACCCCAGACCCACCAAAAAATAAAAATACAATATAATGTGGTACAATATAATACAGTACAGTACAATACAATATAATACTAAGTACTGATTTCCCAGTTGGCAAGATAAAAATAATGAGAATAACCTAACGTCCCATAGGTTTGATACTAGTATCATTTGAGATGATGCATGTTAAACTCTTAGTATAGAACCTTGTACATAAAATTTTGGTTGTACAAAATAGTATTTGTTCACTGGGGGTGAGGCTCAAGTTGTAGAGTGCTTGTCTAGCAAGCATAAGGCCTCAAGTTCAAAATACAGTACTGCTAGAGTAATAAAAATAAAAAATAATCACTATTAAAATTTGTTAGGTTTTGAATATTGAGAAGTTATTTCAAAAACAAATCAACTATTTTTGAAAAAATTAATAAATACTAAATGGTTAGCAAAATAGTGTCAAAACTGTTAACATAGAGTGTGTGGGATGGGGTGTGGCTTAGTGGTAGGGTGCTTGCCTAGCATGTGCAGTCCTTAGCACCACAAAAAACAAAACACAACAAAACTTAATATATCCTTGCTTCTCAATGTAGTTAAGACAAAGAGTTATGAGGATGTAGTAAGTCTGTCCTATAATATATTTCTTCCAGGGTTGACAGATTTATTCTAGTTGTATTAATCCTTGTTTAGTTTTCAAAATATTTTTCTTAAATTTCTTCCTGTGCTAATTCAAATGTTAACACAAAGTTGGAATATGTTGCTGTTTGTGTTCTGATATCATATTAATGTTTATAACTGCAAGAGTAAAATACTTTTATTTTTTATTACAGCAGAATGGCCAAAGACCATGACAGGTCTTCCAAGCACATCAGGGACAACTGCTAGTGTGGTCATCATACGGGGCCTGAAGATGTATGTAGCTCACGTAGGTGACTCAGGGGTGGTCCTTGGAGTTCAGGATGACCCAAAGGATGATTTTGTCAGAGCTGTGGAGGTGACACAAGACCATAAGCCAGAACTTCCCAAGGAAAGAGAACGAATCGAAGGACTTGGTGGGAGGTAATCATTCTACTGTTTTGTGTTTCTTCTCTTGGAGGAGCTATTTCTCTCTCTCTTTTTTTTTTTTCTTGTTTTGTTTTTGTTTTGAGACAGAATCTTGCTATGTACTTTTGACTCAATTCAAACTTGGTATGTAGACCAGGCTGTTCTGGATCTCCTGATCTCTTCACTTAGCCTCTGAGTACTGGGACTACAGTTTTGCTACCTTAATTTCTTAATATTGTAGATTTTTTTGGTTTGCCTGATGCAGAAGCCCATGTTCACTCATATTTGTCTCATTATTTTGAATTGACTCTTTTATTTCTGATAATAGCTGCAAAGGAAAATAACATTTCAGTGGGCCTCAAGTAATAGTATCCACATGGTTTTATTGAAAATTTTTTGCATAAATACTGATCACCGTGCCTTCAGAATCTGGACAGAGCAGAGCAATTATTCTAGGTGATGTGACTTTTAGATATTGTTTTCACAGTTTGTCTTTTGATGATGGTCCTGAATTTTTATCAATCTTGTTATGTCTTCTGGGTTTTGTACCATGCATATAGTGAGAAAAAACATTTAGTGACAGGAATGACATTGTTTTACATTTTTGCAGGTCTCTGTAATGTCTGATTAATGTGTGACAGCTAGAGTCTCATAACTTCTTCTGTTTTGGTTTGTAGTAGCTGTAGTAAATCAGGTATTATATAGATAGATGATTGGGAAGGGGAAATTCAAGATTGATGCATTGTATTTGTTTTGGGTTTTATGTTTTTTTGTTACTATTATTTTTGGCAGTCCTGGAGTTTGAGTTCAGGGCCTTCTGCTTGTTAGGCAGGCACTTGGGCCCACACTCCAGCCTTTTTTGCTTTAGACTCTATTTTTTAAATAGGGACCTGTGTTTATGCTGGCATTGGCTTGGACCTTGATCATGCTGATCTCACCTGTCAAGTAGCTAGGATTAGAGACATGAGACACCATACCTGCTTAAGAAGTGGTAGTCTCTCTTCCTGTTTGCTAGGCAGGCATTCTACCTACACCTCTAGCCCAAAAGTGGTAGTTTCTCAAAGGTTGTTGTGTGTTATCTGAAGCTATATCAGTGTACTTTCCATACTTTACTTTAAGAGCATCATTGGTTGAATGATTTCTTAAATTTTATTTACTTATTTTTTGTTGTGAATGATTTTTTTAATTCACACATGGTTTTTTAAGTTAACAGATCTTATTTTTTAGAACTCTTAGATTGATGGTCAAATTGAGAAGAGGAGGAGAGTTCCCATAAACTTCCTGACCTCTTCTTCTGTGCACTGCTTTCCTTCTTATCAACATCTTGCACTAGAGTGGCACATTTGTTATCAGTGATGAATCTGCATTGACTTGTTATCTCCCAAAGGCCATAGTTTACATTAGGGTTCATTCTGGCCTCTTTATATGCATGTTTGCATATAGTTTGACTTGTGTAGGGACCAGGTAACTATAGTCATGTGACAAGACACTGATTCCTGTGGAACATGAAACATGTTTGAGCTAGACCATGTGGTCTGTCTTACTTAAAACTGAGATACCATTTTGGGGCTAGAAAATGGCTCCTGGATTTTTTTTTTTTTTTTTTTTACAGTACTGGACATGCCTGCCCAGCCATGCTCCCAATCTTTTTGTTTTTAGATAGGGTCTCGTGCTCTCTTTATCACGGCTGGCCTCAGATCTCAATCCTCTGCTCTCTGTCTCAAGTAGCAAGGATTATAGGTGTGTGCCATCATGGTTGACTCTACAATTTTTTAATATTGATGGGCCTGATTCCTTCTCAATAATTTCATTTTTGAAAAATACTTTTCTTGACTATTTGTTCTTATTTACTTTTCAGCCTTAAAGTTATATTTTCCTTGTTTTTAAAAACATTTTTAAAGAGTTTATGTTTTTTGCCTTATCATTTAAAATACCATCTGGACAGTTGGACAGATGCTCTTTGCCATTTGGGAGCAGGTGTCTTTTTGCAAAATTTGAGCCATTTTATGATGTTATTTCCTCACTTCCCTCTGTCTCAATCTAGGCAGTTGGCCAGCACTCTGTTTTTCCAGCCTTCTGTTGCTGCTCAGTCAGCTCTGCATGTCAGGCTGTTGTTTTTTATATGCCTTTTAATCACACAGAACAACAGCAGGGAGTGCAATAAAAGCAATGTTGATTTGGTTTTTTGACACTGGATTTAAAACTTTTATGTTTAACTAGTGCCATTGTTTATCTTTTTGCTCCTCAGAAACACAGGGATCATAAAGCCCTTGAATATTAAATATTAAGAGAGCTCCTACTATAGTTGTATTGGAAGCAGTAACTATAATTACTTAAGTATTAAGCCATACCTTTTGGGAAGCAGGTTTGAGAAAAAACAATAGGACATTAAGATGGTATGAAGGCAGAATGTTGGCATACCCTTTCCTTATAATTCTTGTGTCTCACAGATCCTTGTGAATAGCAGATCACTTTACTCTGGCTTCCTTTTTTGAGAATCATATAACAAAATGCTTTTGATACTCTCTCTCTCTCTCTCTTTTGGTGGGACTGGGGTTTGTCAGGGCTTCACACTTGTAAAGTAGGCACTCTACCACTTGAGCCATAGTCCAGTCCGTTTTGTTCTGGTTATTTTGGAAGTGGAATCTTGTGAACTATCTGCCTGGGATGACTTCAAATCTTGATCCTCCTGATCTCAACCTCCCAAGTAGCTAGGATTACAGGGGTGACCCACCTGCACCTGGTGGTACTCCTGACTCTTGTTATGATTTAGTTGTTATTTTCAGAACTGAGAATTAGACTAGTTCTCAGAAAAGATGGTAAAGGGGTGACTGTCTGGAATTTCTGTGTTTGTTAACAATTATAGCATTCTTTGGTCATTCCACACTGTTCCAGTCATTCATTGTATTATCCTGTGTCATAACCACTAGCCACATGTGACTGCTTAAATTTAAATTAATTAATGCTAAATTTACAAAATCAGTTTCTTATATGTGCTAGCCCCATTTACAGTGTTCACTAGTCAAGTAGTTAGTGGCTACTGTGTTGGACTGTGCAGAACAACATTTCCATCATTGCCTGAAGTTTCTTGAGACCGTGTTGCACAGGTCTCCTGAACTACACTATGTATATGTGTATGCATTTATTCATTCATTCATTTTTACTTTGTAGTGGTATGGATCAAACCCAGGGTCTTACCACGGACTAGGCAAGTGCTCTACCACTGAGATGCATTCTCAGCCCTTGGCCTGCCCTCTTTAGGTGAAATGTGTTTTCTACTTTAGGAAGATTGAAGCTGTTCATCTGCTACATTCATGTTTTTCTTGGCTCAAAGAAAGCTTATCTTTTTCTCATTTATAAGGTTATACCTTTATTTTGCTTCACCTAGGACTTTTATTCATTTATTATCTCTTCTTTCTTTGAACTAAAGCTGAGATAGAAAACCACAGTTAGAGGTAAAATATCTCTATTTCTCTGGCTGCCCCTTAGGTCTAGGGCATCTCATAGTAACACTGCATTTCAGGAGATCACTACTGCCTATCCTGTCGTCAGTGTTGCATATCTTGAAGTTGGTTGACTTGCAGGGCGGATATAGTCAGTATTCATCAGGTTTAGGGAGATAGAGTCAAGGCACTCAAAGTGAATATAGTAAAGTAAGAAAGTCATATATATGCCAAAATATCATACTCATAAATACTGAGAAAAATAGGTCTGGAGGCATGGCTCAAGTGGTAGACCACCTCCCTAGCAAGCATGAGAGTCCCTGAGTTCAAACCCCAGTACCACCAAAAAACCCCCAAACAAACAAAAAATTGAAAACTAAAGTTCTACTTTGTTTCTCCTGTTTCCAGCGAAACCTTCAGAACTATAAAGTTCTTCCTTTTAAATTTTTTTCGGTACTGGGATTTGAACTCAGGGACTACACCTTGAGCCACTCCACCAGCCCTTTTTTTTGTGTGATGGGTTTTTTTCAAGATCAGGTCTTGCAGACTTTTTGCTTGGGCTGGCTTTGAATTGTGAATCTCCTGATTTCTTCCTCCTGAGTAGCCAGGATTATAGACGTGAGCCACCAACACCTGGCCTCTTTAAATTTCTTTTATTACTATTTAATCCCACTCTATTTATAGAAACTCTTTTTCCTGTCCCTATTTTATTTGAGTGATTAAGTCATCTTGCTCTTCTTCTTTTTTTTTTTTTTGGTCTGGTATCTACACCGCCTCACCCCCACTGGATTTTGAATGCTTGCTAGGCAGACACTCTACCCCTTGGGCCATGTCCCCCCAGCCCTGTTCTCTTTTTTCTTCACATTATTTCCATTAAGTTATGTCTATCCTACTTCAGTCATCTCCAAATTCTCCTCATGTAATCCTACCCTATTTTGTCTTTCCTCTTATAACAGGATCTTTGGCTTATCTATCTTGTATTTGAAACAGACAAGTTATTATTTTATAATATAATCTTACCAGTTATTTAACACATCAAGCTATTTTAGTTGCCATATTTTAATCATTTACACTGTTTATGTGAAATGTTTATTTTTTAGTGTGATGAACAAGTCTGGAGTGAATCGCGTAGTTTGGAAAAGACCTCGGCTCACTCACAGTGGACCTGTTAGAAGGAGTACAGTTATTGATCAGATTCCTTTTCTGGCAGTAGCAAGAGCACTTGGTAAGTAGGACTTACATTTGATGAAATCATGTTAGGTTTTCTGTAGTATATGGTGGTAAAATAAAAGAGGATACTGAGAATTAAATCTTTTCTTAACATGGTGAAGGTAGAGAAATGTTGATACTGTATTAAATGTTTTGAAACCTAATTGCAGGGAAGGTTAAGGTATATATTTTAGTGCCAGTTGCTTTTTGTTCAAAAGTCATGTTCAATATCTTGCTAACTTCTACATTTTCTTAGGTACATATATGTATTCCCAGGCTTAATGTTACTCTTAAAATTATCTCTAAATATCCTTTCCTACTTTAGCCCTTAATAGTCCTAAGAGCCTTCAAAGCTCTTTTTTTTTTCTTTAGCTAGAAAAATAAATTGTTCATGATAAAATAAAAATAGTTCTTTCTGGTCTACCTGGTTTTTGAAGGAAGGCTAGAGAATTATATAGCTATTGAAATAGCTTGCCTTGGCTATGCTAAATGTGTATGTGTGTGTGTGTTGAGACTTGAGGAGTAGTTTTTATATTGTCTTGTTCCTTCTCTTTCTTTATTCTTAGATATTTGACGATCAACTTGGTGTTAGGCATTATAAATGACTTTAGAGTTATAATATGTACATATTTTCTATTATATGGAGTAAACCCATGCAGTTGCAGAGATAGGCAGTAAAGAAGTAAGCTTATAAATGAAGTTATTGCAGATTAGGGAATACCAAGAAAGAAAAGATGCTGTGATATATATTAATTTAGGAGGTCGAGCGTGTTGGCTCACACATGTACTCCTGGCTACCTGGGAGGCGGAGATTAGGATGATAGTAGTTTGAGCCCAGCCCCAGGCAAAAGTTAGAGACTCCATCTCAGTCAGTAAAAAGCTAGGAGTGGTGTAGTGCTTGCCTAGCATGCATGAGATCCTGGGTTTGACTAGATAAACAAATAAATAAAATAGATCATTTTTCCTACCATGCACTATTTCTTGTTGATCTTTTTGTTTTGTTTTGTTGTCATTTTTGGTCTTTTTGAGACAGGGTCTTACTAGATAGCCTAGGTTGGTCTTGAACTCATGATCCTTCTGCCTCCACCTCCCAAGTGCTGGAATTAAGGATATACCACCATACCTGGCTGACTTCTCTTACTGATTTGTTTGTTTGTTTGATTGTTTCGATAGGTCTGGGGTTTGAACTCAGTGCTTCATGCTTGCAAAGTAATGCTCCATTGCTTGAGCTGCACCTCCAGTCCATTTTGATCTGGTTATTTTGGAGATGGAGGGGGAGGAAATCTCAAGAATTATTTGCCTAGGCTGGCTTTGAACTCTGATCCTCCATATTTCAGCTTCCTAAGTAGCTAGGATGGTAAGCAGAGCCACTGGTGCCCATCTCTTACAGATCTTTGATGGTCAAATGCACTTACTCCTACTCTTCATAAGAGTCTGTAACTTGCTGAATAGATAATAAACAAATAAAATCATGCTGCAGACTGTCAAAAGAATTACACAGTGATGTGCCAGTGGAAGAGATAGAGGGTGGCAGGGGGATAGTTTCTTTAGAAAGGATGACCATGTAACATTATTTAAGGAGGTGGCATTTGAGTAAGACCCGAAGGTGGGAATGGGACCAAGGAAACTAGTAGTTAAAGCAGAGCTATAGATGTGCAAGGGCCCTTAGGCAGTTAGTGCACATTTGATGGGGTGGAGGATACGCTGTACACTTAAAATAATATTATGATTTCCTTTTGAGAAATTTTATGTCCCATCATATGTGAAGTCCTAGTTTAAACATACCTGTTCTGTGATACTGGAGTTTAATCTCAGGGCCTCACACTTGCTAAGCAGGTGCTCTACTGCTTGAGCTGCTCCTTCAGCCCTTTTGAAATAGGGTCTTGCTAGCTCTCTCCCATGGACTGGCCTCAAACTGTGATCCTCCTGATCTCTGCCTGCTGCATAGCTAGGGTTATAGGCATAAGCCACTGGCAGCTGGCTTTCAAGGTCTTTTTATAAAATACATAAGCAGTGAGACATATGAACCCTGCTAGGTCAATAAGATTCTCCTATAATTTTTTTTTGAGATTCTCCTATAATTTTGAATCTAATAACAACAATTTAAAAAAAAATTGGCTGTAATGAATTTATCCTAGTAACATTGGCAGTGTCCATTGATGTAGTTGGGTCTTCTTTCCTGGTTACTTGGAACTGTCTGTTTTCCATACTTGTTTCTCTAGCTTTTTGTCTATTCTATAAGCTACTTAACTTTATTCTCAGTTGCTTTTTTGAGCTAAGTTAACCTGAACTGGAAATTGTTTGCAGGCAAAGAATATCACCCATGCCTCCCCGCCCCCCCCCCCAACTTCCCGTCAAAGCAGTACTAAGCAAAGAATCCTAATATAGGAAAGTCAGAGCTTGGTATCTTTGAGGTAAGCAAAGGGTGGTAAAAAGTATAAAATGAGGGTGGACATGACAGTAGATTAAGAAGGACTGTATGGTGAAGACATTATAGCTGGGTAGGATCTAAAGGCCTTCTAGATTGTGGTAAAAAAGAATGCTTTGGAGTCAAATGTGTCCATGGCGTATGCCTGTAATCCCAGCTAATCTGCAGTCTGAGGCAGAGGTGGCTTGAGCCCATAAGTTTGAGACCAGCCTACCTAACATAGTGAGACTTCATCTCAAAAAAAAGGAAAAAAATAGAAGAGGTTGTATACCATTGTGGGAAAGAGATGGACTTTGGAAATCAAATGTCTAGATTCCAGGCTCAGTGCTATTACTTATTTTGCAAACTTTAGTAAATTACTCAGTATTTTGTGCCATAAATCATCTGTAGATGAAGCCTACAAACTACTGTGTTAGTCTGTTTTGCTCTGTTAAAACTGACAACTAGGTAATTTATCATGAACAGAAATTTATTGCTCCCCCAGGTTTGGAGGCTAAGAAATCTAATATCAAGGTGCTACCATCTTGTGAGGGCCTTATTGATGCATCATCACATAGTGGAAGATGAGAGAATTAGAGAGAGAGAGAGAGAGAGAGAGATTTTGATTGAAGGAAAGAAAGAGGAGGCCAAATTTCCTCTGTAAAGGCACCAGTCACACCATGAGCATAGGGGAGTCCTTGTAGCCCTAATCACCTCTTACAGGTACTGTCTCTTAATACTGTTAAAGTGGCAATTAAATGTCAGTATGAAGTTTGATAGGGACAAACATTCAAACCAAACCTGGTATCTGCCTCATACTGTTGTGATTACTGGATGACTTTGCACATATAAAGTGCTTAGAATAGTACCTGACCATAGTGAGTGCTGTATAAATATTAGCTGTTCTTACTATTGATACTTAGCAATGCAGGGCAATGACAGTTTGTTTTTTGAGAGATCATTTTAGCTGATTTGTAATGAAGGTTGAAAGTAAATAAAATTGGAGGCAAAGGTACCATTTAGGAGCCTGTTGCAATATTGTGGATACTTCATGTTTTATAGATTTTTTGCAGAATTAGATGACTAGGTTACCTATTCACTCATAGTGTAAGCATGGAATATAACTGATCTTCCAGTTATTAGCAAGGAGAGAGGGGAAGATGCTAGTTAGTTGCCACTTATGTTTCAAGTAGTGGTAAATTTCACATTAACTACTGCCATATAGAATATTAGTGAGCACTGAAAAGGGGGGTGAAAGTCAAGGAATAGTTTTTTTTTTTTTTTGGGGGGGTTGTACTGGGGTTTGAACTCTGGGCTTTGTGCCTGCTAGGCAGGCTTTACCACTTGAGCCACGCCTCCATTCCAAGAGATTTTTCTTTCTTTCTTTTTTTTTTTAATGTGGTACTCGTTGAACTGAGGGCAAGATCTTACTCTTGGTTTGAAAGTAGATGCCACATTATTTTGTACATATGAGTGTATGGCAAGCATTTCAAATAAGTTTTGAAACACTTAGGAGATTGCGTAGAAGAAGAAAAAAGAGAAGGACTGGTACAGACATAGTAGGAAAACGAGCTGATTTTTCTGGTTCAGATAATTCAGTAATACTCCATAGTAATTCATCCCTTATTTGAATATCTTCAGTATTCTTAATGTCGCAAACTACAGACTCTTAGAGTACTCAGAAACTCTAATTGTTTTTGTTTGGTATTTTTGAATTGTGAGTTAAAAGTCTGCCTTCATGAATCTTTCAGATACTGGCCCTAGTTTTGTGTGGTGAAACAAAATGAGAGCAATCCTACAACATAATGGTAGACATTTATGTATTCCAAGTTGGTTAACATGTTTCTTTAGTCTACTCTCTAGGTTTAAAGTGTTAATTTTAGGTTTTTCATGATACGGTCATATGCTACTTAAAGATGGGGATATGTTTTGCAAAATGTATTCTTAGGTGATTTCATTGTTGCACAAACATTGAGTATTCTTACACAAATCTATGTCGTCATATAGGCCAATTACTTGACATACCTTTTTTTTTTTTTGCTTGGTTTTTGTTTTTGTGACGTAGAATCTCTTTATGTGGCCTGGGCTGACCTGGAATTCCCTCTGTAGCTCAGGCTCAAACTTGAGATTCTCCTGCCTCTACCTCCCAAGTGTTGGGATTACAGGTGAGAAACACCGTGCCTGGCTGACGTAGGCTTTTTTGTGTGTGTGTGTGTTTTGAACTAAGTGCTTGATGTTTGCGAGGCTGGTACTCTACCATTTAATCCATGCCTCCAGGTAGAAGATCAGTTCTGATTAGGAAATAAGTTCTAGAATCACAGGGGAAAATAGTGGTATTTTGAAATTTGTGTTGGTACCAGGGTTTGAACTCAGGGCCTCACGCTTGCTAGGCAGGTGCTCTACTGCTTGAGCCACTCCATCAGTCCTGACATGTCCTCTTGATGGAATCAAGACCCAGGGCAAACAAGATGTATGAGGCTGTTCCTCCAGTAATATGGCAAACTTAAAGTAAGCTTTAAAAAAATTAGTAGAAGGAGCACACTCTAGAATAATGATTAAAAGTATAGTATAGTAAAATACCCACACTGGCAGCACAGTCATTATCATAC